AATTTAGTAACTTTATAAATATATATATTAAATATAAATAGTACTCTAGTTTAATTACCATACCGATTTTAATCTCAATAATTTGAAATAAACAATTTGATATATAAAAATTCAATCTAAATATCATTTTAGTTCAATAATAATGCACACCCTAATCTCAATATCAATCTCTCAGATTAAGCTAATTTGAAATAAATAACAAATTTGTAACTATAAAAATTCAATATAAATATCACTCTATTTCAAGATATTTAGACATAAATCTCAATATCAATCTCAATCTTAATTTCAAATTTAATAATCTAAAATCCATAACTTTGTATATACAAATTTACTAGAAAAAAAAACTCTTCAAGCAAGTAATTAACGTACAAATTTCAATCTAAAAAACTTGAAAGAAATAACAGTAATTTACTAACAATTCATGTAATAATAGTAATAATCTACACTAATCTACAAATAAGACTATAATTTTGTATAAAAAAACTACAAAAATCTTAATTACCTCCGCCAATGGGGACAGTAATGCTGTCGAGGTAATTAAATTATTAAAACTGGATTTTGACCTACAAAAAACAAAATTGGGGTCTTGTAAACTCAAATCCAAGTAAAAAATAAAGAAATAAACAAGGTTAAATACCCTTTTTGGTCCCTTTACTATAAGAAAAAGTCTCTTTTTAGTCCCCGTACCGAAAAAATCCCCTTTTTGGTCTTTACTGTTCACAAATCCGGTTCCTTTTTAGTCCTTCCGTTAAATTTTGGCTGATGTGGCAAGTTAATTAACGGAAAATTTTATTTTTTTCTTTACTTAAATTACGTGTAAAATCCATTTGGCAAAACTTGATGACATGGCCAAATTTTTTATTTTTAATTACCAATTTACCCTCATTTTCTTCCCCCATCTTTCCTTCAGCCTTTTTTTTCTTTTTTTTTTCTTCTTTTTTTTCTTCTTTTTTTTCTTATCTTTAGGCAAACCAAGGAGCCTGGGTTCGTTGGGTTCACCCTCATTTTCTTCCCCCATCCTCTCCTTCCTTCAGCCTTTTTTTCCTTTTTTTTTTCTTTTTTTTCTTTTTTTTCTTACCTTTAAGCGAACCAAAGAGCCTGGGTTCGTCGCGATGAACCCAGCTCGTGGGTTCGT